GACTGAGAAATGGATGAAGTCCGACAGAATCACTAAAACAGTGATCAGAACTGAGGGACAGAATGAAAACACAGATCATGACAGGCAGACTATAACAGGTGTTGTGGTTCTAAAACATAATTTCAGTTCAACATGTCCTGACGTGTTGGAGATCCATCAACAAAACTGTCAGACTGGAAAACAAAGACCTCTGAGAACTCTGCTGTTAGAAGATAAAACATTATTTCTTCTCAGAAAATGTTATAAAATCGAATCCAAACAGTTTCTGTTAAACTTGAGTTTCTTGTTCTGTCCGATCAGATCCATCAGTTTATTATTAAACTGAATGTTTGTCCTCAGATCCTCCGTCTCGTGTGATGATCTACCCCAGAGATGATATAGAGCCAGGACAGAAGAACATCCTGATCTGTCACGTCTCTGGGTTCTATCCTGCTCCTGTTAGAGTCCAGTGGACCAGGAACGGACTGAATGTGACTGGAGAGTCCAGCATCAATGTTCCTTTCCCCAACAACGATGGGTACTTCACTCAGATCTCCAGACTGGACTTTGTCCCACAGCTGGGAGACATCTACAGCTGCTCAGTGGAACATGTGGCCCTGCAGGAACCACAGACCAGGATCTGGGGTGAGACAAAACTCTTAAGACCTGAGAGCAAAACATATAGAGCTGAAACCTGACTGATCCACATGTGGAGTCTTCAGTCTGTCTCTGTCTCCAGATGTGGACAGTCTTGTCTCTGTCTCCAGATGTTGACAGTCTTGTCTCTGTCCTGTTTCCAGATGTTGACAGTCTTGTCTCTGTTCTGTTTCCAGATGTTGACAGTCTTGTCTCTGTTCTGTTTCCAGATGTTGACAGTATTGTCTCTTATCTGTCTCCAGATGATGACAGTCTGTCTCTGTTCTGTCTCCAGATGTTGATAGTCTTGTCTCTGTTCTGTTTCCAGATGTTGACAGTCTTTTCACTGTTCTGTCTCCAGATGTTGACAGTCTTGTCTCTGTTCTGTCTCCAGATGTGGGCAGTTTTGTCTCTGTTCTGTTTCCAGATTTTGACAGTCTGTCTCTGTCTTCAGATGTTGACAGTCTGTCTCTGTCTCCAGATGTTGACAGTCTTGTCTCTGTTCTGTCTCCAGATGTTGATAGTCTTGTCTCTGTTCTGTTTCCAGATGTTGACAGTCTTTTCACTGTTCTGTCTCCAGATGTTGACAGTCTTGTCTCTGTTCTGTCTCCAGATGTGGGCAGTTTTGTCTCTGTTCTGTTTCCAGATTTTGACAGTCTGTCTCTGTCTTCAGATGTTGACAGTCTGTCTCTGTCTCCAGATGTTGACAGTCTTGTCTCTGTTCTATCTCCAGATGTTGACAGTCTTGTCTCTGTTCTGTCTCCAGATGTTGACAGTCTTGTCTCTGTTCTGTCTCCACATGTTGACAGTCTTGTCTCTGTTCTGTCTCCAGATGTTGACAGTCATTTCACTGTTCTGTCTCCAGATGTTGACAGTCTTGTCTCTGTTCTGTCTCCAGATGTGGACAATCTTGTCTCTTCTGTCTCCAGATGTTGACAGTCTGTCTCTGTCTTCAGATGTTGACAGTCTGTCTCTGTCTCCAGATGTTCACAGTCTTGTCTCTGTTCTGTCTCCAGATGTTGACAGTCTTGTCTCTGTTCTGTCTCCACATGTTGACAGTCTTGTCTCTGTTCTGTCTCCAGATGTTGACAGTCTTTTCACTGTTCTGTCTCCAGATGTTGACAGTCTTGTCTCTGTTCTGTCTCCAGATGTGGACAGTCTTGTCTCTGTTCTGTCTCCAGATGTTGACAGTCTTGTCTCTGTTCTGTTTCCAGATGTTGACAGTCTGTCTCTATCTCCAGATGTTGACAGTCTTGTCTCTGTTCTGTCTCCAGATGTTGACAGTCTTTTCACTGTTCTGTCTCCAGATGTGGACAGTCTTGTCTCTGTTCTGTTTCCAGATGTTGACAGTCTTGTCTCTGTTCTGTCTCCAGATGTGGACAGTCTTGTCTCTGTTCTGTCTCCAGATGTGGACAGTCTTGTCTCTGTTCTGTCTTTAGATGTGGACAGTTTTGTCTCTGTTCTGTCTCTAGATGTGGACAGTCTTGTCTCTGTTCTGTCTCCAGATGTTGACAGTCTTGTCTCTGTTCTGTCTCCAGATGTTGACAGTCTGTCTCTGTCTCCAGATGTTGACAGTCTTGTCTTTGTTCTGTCTCCAGATGTTGAGGACGATGCACCTCAGCCCAGTCTTGGACCCTCAGTCTTCTGTGGAGTGGGTCTGACAGTTGGCCTTCTTGGTGTGGCTGCTGGAACCTTCTTCCTCATCAAAGGAAATGAGTGCAGATGATTGGCTGCAGATGATGTCATTGATCACTGTTAAAATGTTGTTTTTAAAACTGTTTTGATTTTCTTCCTTTTATT